CCTCTGCTGTAAAAGCAGCTGTTCTGGGGATCCATTCAAGTGGCAATTCAGTGTGGCTGAGCCAGGTGACATCTGCCCAACAAGTTTGAGATCAGATGTTCCTTCATTGGTCTGATAACAACAGCTTTTGGAGAGAGGTATTTTTCCCTCTTTTCTTAATGGATATTAAACAATTTCACCATTTTGTTTTTTTTCCAAAGCATTGGCTAAAGACCCAGTTTGTTACAAGTGAAAACAGCCAGATGTGTAGAGATACACATACACGCATACACATACAAGGTTTCCTATATGTTAACTTATAATGCAACAGAGGTACATGAGATAGTTGGGATCAGCTACTTTACACTATGGTAAAAGTTGTTCTTAACATAGCTCAGTGTCTTTACAAATACACTTATAGACCCTAAAATAATCTGTCTGAAAATGGGTGCTGTTCAGTGAGAAAACTCTACATCATTGGCTTCATTCATCTAACTGTGTAGAAAAATGGTATTTCTGGCACAGGATTGAAACAGAATGCTCTATAAATACAAAGCCATTAAACCTGAGGCAGCAGCAACCTGATCAGGGCTGCCTTTTAATTTCCTGACATGAGCTGGCCACTAACCCAATTACCCAGAATCCCCGGAGGAGTCTTCATCCTTCCCAGGAAGCACAAAAAGAAAGCACAAACATTCTGTCTGGATGTCAGCGGAGCTTTCACTGAAATCAAATATCCTTCAGAAAACACATGGAAATCGAAAGCTGGGGGAAGGGAACTCAGCAGGGACATTTGACAGACAGACAGTGTTCTAGAATGGCAGCATGCCACTGAAAGGGATTTAAGGAGAAAATAAGGTGGGTAATTGTTGCCAACTGAACATTTATTTTTTAACCAAGTACCTTGATTACAAGCAGTGGCTAAAGCAGAAATGACTTTGGATTTCTGGTGCTTGCAGTATCCTATTCAGTGACCTAACACCTGTCTTGGTTTCTCTGGCCTTGATCTTCCCTCTGCCTTTGAGAATTGCATGACAAGCAGAGATTTAGCAGCTGAAGCATTTTTCACAATGGAAATGCTATCAATAGGAAAGCATTATTGATAAAATTTGGCCTGTAAGTTAATGTTGAAGGCAACAAGGGCAGTATATGGAATAGTGCAAGGTCTTTGCAAAAAGAAGAGCAGCTTTAAAGTCAAGGCTCGGCTCAAACCATTTTTAGTTGAATTTTTGTTCAGAATGCAGCCAACCTACTGTGTATTTATTTCCAATTCCGGACCATCATTCAGCAAAATCAGAGCTCTGGTTTTCAATCAATTGTTAGAGAGCAAGTAGGATCTCAATTTGTTTTTTTCACATACAGAGATATGCTTTGTAGTACTCTTTAGATCTTCCTTGTAAAGATAAATGGCAGGATGATGGAGATTATACCGCAGTATATTTAGAAAGCGCCAAATTGGGAAAGATTTCTATACATCAAAAATCACATCTACAAGAGTCTTTGGGAATTTCTGATAGTCATCCCCCATTTGAGCATAAAGCAAGAGCGCTGGCAGAGGGCTGCAGGAGGCCATTGCCACTGAAAATGGAATCCGGACAGCCCCCGCAAAGCCCTCCTAAGCTCTGTTTTCACTGGCAGAGGCACTGTGGGCCAATCCTTTATTGTTTCCAGGGCAGCCCCATGGGCCAGATCTAAGCACCCCACAGGCCAGATCTGCCCCGCAAGCCTTGAGTTTGACACCCCTGATCTAAGACATTCAAAGCTTTCCAATAACTCTCTCTCACACAGAGGAAATATTCAGAATAGCATTTTTCTTCACCACTACTTCAGAAGTTCAAGATCACAAAAGAATGGCCTCAGCATAATACAGAACTGAAAGGAAATATATATATGAATACATGACATTTGAGCTCAGTCATCCATTAGTGTGTCTCCTGGTTTTATTAAAATAATACCAGAATTTGTAAAACAAATATCTAGTGTCTTCCAACATATCTTCTCTATTTCAAGCATGCTTGAAGGTCAAATTCTCCTTGCCAAAATCTGGAACCAATTTTTTTCCTCCAAGGTCATTTCTGAAAGCAAAGCTGTATATTCAGCAAAAAATACTTTATGCCACTTTGGACAATCTCCATAGATTTAAAGCCCCTGAAGGAATATTAACTGACCATTTTTTTTGTGAGAAGGATGATTAACTATAGGTTAATAACCAACATACTGAATACATGTGCTCTGGACTTGTATCTTATAATTTAAATAGGTAATTTTTCACTTAGAATTTTAGCTATCTTGGTGAGTCTTTACTCTGCAGTATAAAAATGGAAGTAATTGAGCTGGCTCTATGCTCATACATCCTTTTAGTTATAGTGCATTGATTAGGGTTCTCTTAAAGAAAACAGCCACGATATCTGAGAAACCTATTGATTGTTCACTATGTCCCTTCCTGCTTTTGTTTCTTATTCACTTTCTGCATTGCTCTACCAAGCCCCAGTATCTACATCACACGGGTAGTCTTTCATAGTCTTAAAGTGTCCCTTTGGAACCTTACTTTTTCCCTTTTACTTTCCATTGACCCTATTTGCCAATATGAATGCTTATCTTCTGTCTTTTCTCTTTGAGGATGTCAAAAATTATTCCTCAGTAAGCGAACAATAATATGTAGATGATAGAGTGGGACTGAAGGGCTATGGTGCATATGTTATTAAATGTGTGTGTGTCAAGCATGAAAAATGTTGATTTCCACTGATGCTTCAGAGCAAGTATCAAGATTTATTTTTAAAAAATAAATAATAAAGCCTTAGGATACAAATAGTTTGTATAAAATTTGAATTTAGATTTGAACATTCTGTTTCCTTTCCAAATGAAAATATATAACAAAAGATAGGGCTAAGGCCTATAGCTGGTGATATTCAGCTGTTAAACTGAAGCGTTTGGCAGACAATATGGGGAGATTAAACAAATTAATGGAGAATAAAGCTAATCTTGTTAGCTCTAGTCATGCTGGCTACATATTGCCTCCAATAAGGAAGGTACAAGGCAGTGTGTCTTTCACTAAGGTACAGATCTATGTGATACTATTATATTCATGTCAGCTTTTTAGTTTTGCTAGTCCAGCCAGACATCTGCTGAGAAAAGAATGCTGAATTAGACAGGACTGTAGTTTGAGGCAGCAGGTTTCTTGGGGTCTTGTAATCATACATCTACAATGATACTGATTAAAATGATTGTAATCATTTTATTTTCATCCAATTTAGAGAGGTTGAAATAGCCCTAAATACTGAACATGGAAAAATGGGGAATTAGTATTATTGTTTGTGTGTCTATCAGTCATCATTATAAAGATGAGTCTTAGGCAACAAGAGAAGCAATATTGTTTTTTAAAAAAACTAGAAAATAAGAAGACAATGTAGAAAACTGATCTTTAATTACAAGATATCCTATAGTCTGGGGTCATTTCATTTTCTGTAGTATATAGACTTTTACATGCCTTTTAGAATAAAGGCAAGTAGTGTTTAATTAAATATTAATAAATGGCATATAGGGAATAGTTTGATAAGTTAATGCATTTACAAATACTTCACTTCCCAAATTTTCCTGAGGCTTTTTACCAACTGTCTTAATGCAGGGAGAATGAAATGACCAACACCATCAGGTTATACTTCAAGCACTGTATTTCTGAATCTTAGAATTACAGTTTAGACAAATGGCAGCTATGTATATCTAGTTCTGCCATTATTCTATTAATCCAAAGATAAGCACACTGTAGGTCTGAGGTTATAAGTGCCCCCTGCCCTACCTCCCTAGCAGCCTCAATTCACTTGGCTACAATTTGGTACTGCAATTTGGCATTCAAATGTCAAAATGTCTGCAGGCTTCAGTCTGAAATATTTTGTACATGTGTGTTTAGAACATACTGTATATCCCTTGAAAGCAGATTTTTTTTTTTGTCTGAGGAGACATTTAACATTGGATTCAGCAATGCAGCTTTTTACAATTACTTTAAGATCTCCAGCTTTTAAAATACAAAAATGGTCTAGTTTCATCTGATCTTTTTTCTCCTTTCTGCCCAAGTACCCATTTATGTCAAATAAGGATGAAGACAGATACAGATAGCAAACAGAATCTAACTCCCCCTCCCTTTTTTTAAGGGATATCCTAATTATGTTTTTCATCTTAGTATTCTTCAGGGCAGTCCTAGAGGCAATCTGAAACTTTCACCATATCTAGCACAGCCTAATTTGAATGGCTGTTTCCTCTTCACTCATTGCATCTTGAGAGCAACAATACAGAGACTCAATCACTCGAACATCATCCATCTTTTAACCTGTTTTCCTCTTCACACCTGCTGCTGCAGATGGAGAAGCCCTGAGGACTCAATAGCTTGCATGCTGTATTCTGTGGAGGATTTAATAAAGGAATTGCCCTAATAATAAATGGGTAAGAGAAGGCTGTTACACAAATGAGATCTTTGCCAGCTCATCAGAGAAACAGAATCTGTAGAAAAAAAGTTTTTTTTCTCTATCATCTTCAAACAGCAAAACCAAGAAAATGATTTCTCTGTGGTCAGTTTCTTTGAAGTATTTATTTATTTGCTTTACCCATGATAGTTTACAAAAATAACTAAAATATAACTTAAATAAACAAAATAAAATGAAAACAGCACGTCAGATTTAAAAAGTGACCATATTTGATGATAATGAGCCAGAACACCCCATCAATACATATCTGCTGATGGGCTATACACACTGTATACCCTGGCCAAATATCATTTAAGGTTGGGGTGAGTAAAACAACAACAAGATGATGGCTATGACTGAAATCCTGCAAACCACAATACTACTTCAATGGTGCCACTCAATCTTGACTTTTTAGAAATCTTCCTGTTCCGTTATCTGAAGACCTCCCCTTGGATCCTCCTGAAGCAAGAGACCGTGAGGTCAGACTAATTGAACTGCTTGTTTTTCAGCCATTCTCCTATTTTGTCTCACTTTTATATTCAGACAGAATGCGGCCCACCTTACCTTCTTTCAGCATCCCCACTTTGAGGCATTTCATAAAACGACAGGCCTGACAGGATTTGCGCCTCCGTTTTGTGATTTCACACTCATTGGTAGCTGGACAACTATATTCAATGTTCCCTGCAAATAAGAAGCAAAACAAAAATAAGGACAGATGTAAGGATGCCCTTTAAAAAAAGCTATCCTGAAAACAAATAGGAACGAGAGCATTCATCAAAAATTTTCTGCCAGAATCAGAGGAATTAGAAGACTAGGAGCACCAATCTATCAATGTTCCTTGGACCAAGTCACTTTTTGCCTTTTAAATATTTTAATGACAATATTGTCTGAGGATTCCTATACTGGGCCCATTATGTCAAAACATAAGGGTCTAAATAAAACATTGCATTTATTTATAGTATTTATTTATCTTGGGATAGAACAATCCCAAATGGTGCATGTGAATCCCAGTCATTTCCCAATGAGTCTCCATTTCCCCCTCTGAGCTGCTTTATGGCATATTAATACAGAGGTGGTATTCAGCAGGTTCTGACCAGTTCTGGAGAACCAGTAGTGGAAATTTTGAGTAGTTCGGAGAACCAGCAAATACCACCTCTGGCTGGCCCCACCCCCATCTGTTCTCTGCTTCCTGAGTCCCAGATGATCGGCTGGGTCTTCTTTTGTTGCCCTGCACAGGAGAAAGGAGCTGGAAAGCAGGTTAGTGTGGTGGGGAGGGAATGGGATTTTGTAGTATCCTTCCCCTACCATGCCCACCAAGCCACAGCCATAGAACCAGTAGTTAAAAAAAATTGAATCCCACACTGTATTAATATAGGAAGGGTAACCAGCCCAAGGAGAGCTTTGTGACTCAATAGGACTAATCCTCAGTCTCCAATGAGAAATTGGCTGTATCACACCAATTCATAGTAACGACTTTTGAAGATGACATAGTTTCAGTAAATAGTTTCATCTTTAAGACAGATAGAAATAGCGGAACTTTCAGGGCAATATTTTGGCTTCATTCTTTAGGAATGACTCAGAAAGCACACGAATAGTTGAACTGGCTCACCACACTGTGAAGTGATGTAATGCATGTTTCTCTCTAAAGAGCATCCTTCTGCCCAAACACCATTTAGTCTAAAGCTGAACTACATATCTGGAGGCAAATATTTCTTTCCTTCTCTTGGACACATTAATACAAGCACAATTACGTAAATGTAGCTTTAAATTTTTCTTGGCTCTGATTAACTCTGGCAATCAAGACAGTAGTTTGCAAAAGCCCTTTGCACAGAATGAGGTTTGATGAGATTGATGGAGAAAGAAATGCCAGAGTTCTTGGGCAATCGAGAATTAATTTCTTTTGCTTTCTTATCAAAATAAAAACACTGTGTGCACAAGCTAAATCTCAGCAAGGAAACAGTGAAGAAACTGAAAGTATTTCCCCATTTCAGCTTCTTAGTTTGTGGTGTTAGTGGCTTTTGAACAAAGTTTTCACCAGTAAACCATCATTCCAAAGGAAGCATCAAACACACCAGCACAATTAAATAATGTAAAAGATAAAAGAGATTTTAATAGGCTGCTCTAAAAACCACTTTGTTGCTCTAAAACCAAACTTGTGAATTTTCCTGCCATCGTTGTAAGATCCTTCTAACGCAGGGCTGTCAAACTCCTGACTCATGGGCCGGATTCATCATGCGTGGCCATGCTCATGCCTGGTTTAGCAAAGGGGGAAACAGTCTTGATACGTCACATGATGCTGCCGTGACGATGTGATTTTCACGCCCCTGCTCTAATGGGTCTGCCTTAACAATTTGGTAAATACATCAAAGGGAAAGGGATTCTGGGGTCATGAATGAAATGAAAAAGTAACTCCTCAGTTGATTCATTAGAGCTGATTCTGAGAGTCAAACAATTTTCAGACCTCCAGGCCTCTATGTGAAATCTCCAGCAATGAAGTCCATCCATTCCCATCCCCATTCCCTTCCCTTTGAATTTCCTTGCACTGTCAGATTTTCTCATGAGGACCTGTACTTCCTCTTGGCCAATAATATATGGTCTCATGCTTGAATTCAGAAACAGTACAGTTATTAGAATAAGTACTGTGGCTGAATGAACCCATGACAAAAAACTGTTTATTGCATTCCCTTCAATATTAGTAACTGCAGCCTCAATTTCTCACAAAAGACAGCATGTGTTTTTCTCACAAAAGACAGCATTTGCTGATTCAGGACCAGGCACAAATACAAACAGGAAAAAAAAAAACTCTGAAGAGCAAATTATGTGATATGCTAAATATACTCCCTGTACCATCTTTACTCAAAAGTAACTATGAATACTGAACTGGATTAAGATCACCATGCATAGGAGAGCAGGAATAACTCTCTCCTTTCAATTTAGGGCTACCACATCAGAATCCATCAGGGGCAGCAAAAAAAGTCTCCACTCTACTTAGAGAACCATTCTAGGAAGATGGAAACTATAAAAGGAGGATCAACCTTCTGGATACCATTCCAGGCTGTAATATCATAGGAAAAGGTGATTTAGACTGACACTGTCCTTGCTACATGCAAGAATTCAAATTAAAGCATGCATGACAAGAGATTGTCTAGAGTCTTATCAGATACATTCCACCTCTCTGATGACATCTATTACATATTAAACTGGTCCTAATTTTCAGAAGTATTTATCATTTGACTAGAATTAGTCTTGCAGTAAAGTAAGATCATTATTTTCCAATCAGTACTCTGGGATGATAGAGACTAACTCTTGGTATTTAAAAAGTGCTCTGATAAATTCTCCCAGTCTTGTCTTTTAAAAGCTACACATTCTTCAGTGGCGGGATTAAAAACTTTTTGCTACCAGTTCTATGAGAGTCGCGCTATGAGAATGTCCGTCTTAGGTCCTGGATGGGTTAGCACTTCTCCATTTGAGATTGAACAGACTTTTGAGTTTTACCGGAGTTGCAACTATTGCTTGAGAACAATTTGCAGTTAAGGTAGGAAGACCTTCATGCAAGTTCATCTTGTGCGCTAGCTGAACCTCTTCCTGGTCTGGGAAAGCCTTCAGTCTCTCATGTGCTAATAGGGGCTGCCCTTGAAGACCATCCAGAAACTTAAGTTGGTCCAGAGTGATGGACATACCTCTGCTCTATGAGTTCTATTAGTTGCCAATTAGGTAGGCAGGCGGGCAGGAAGGAAGGAAGGAAGGAAGGAAGGAAGGAAGGAAGGAAGGAAGGAAGGAAGGAAGGAAGGAAGGAAGGAAGGAAGGAAGGAAGCGTTTGAAGGAGTTTTTGAGGTTTGCCCCTTCCAACATTACTGCCATTTTAATTCCACAGTTTCTAGAGCATCATGGGGCATTTTACACATGGCTCCTAGCCACCTGACATTGTTAGACAGCCTAGAAAATAATTAAAGGGAACACAAGGGGAGTATTAGAAGTGGACTGTTCTTTGTCACTGGAGTTTTGATATTTTTCTCATACAATGTACCTAAAATGAATAAAGTAGGGGAAACTGAAAATTTACAATTGTTTCTAGTTCACACTAATTGGATTTCTCTTATACAGGAAGTACAAATAGTGCTGACATGTCAACGAGCAAACATAGCTTTCCCTGTTAAGATCACTTTTACCTAAAGGGGAAAAATCTGTTTGGGAACAAAACCAGACATCAGTAACATGAGATCATTCACTCTAAACTTTTTCCCAAGATCAAACTATGTGTTGTACCAGGAGATCTTTGGGAGGGGAGGATGAACAGAAAGCTCATGGAGACCATGCGTTTGATCTTAGATTTGATGCTGTACTGGGACAATGAGCAGTTGACTCTATAAAGATTGTCTCTGCAATCCAAACTGCTCCCCTCAGCCTTCCTTTCCAAAACAGGCATTGGAGAAAGGGGAATTAAACAAGCTAACAGATACAAATACTTCTCTGATACATTAGCAAATAATAATTTTCATGCATTCAAAGAAATAGCTTAAGAGGCTCATAGGAAATGGAAGTCTCAAGTGGTATAAAATGGCCTAAGAAATATTTTATTTTTGTATTTATTTATAACAAATTTAGCCTGCTTTTCATTAAAATTAGTACCAAAGAGGATGCAATAAAACAAGCCAATAAAACCATACAAAATGCCATTAAAACAATTCAAAGGCATAATAAGACAACTACAGCCTCACACTAAATGATGCATCAGCATAAATTAATCCTTATGGTGAAATAATTAAATCTAGAAATGGCACGGTCTCTGCCCAGAGGTCTGCTGCCTAGAATGAGACAAATATGTGTTTGTTGGAAGAGGAGGTTGCAGATGTCTAAGGCGGGGAAGTGAATTGGAAGATTATGTTGCCAAGGAAGAGTCATGAGTGTTGTGCAAATGCTTTGATGTAGACCTGGTCAGATATTGCCTTTTCGCATACCTGCAAAGCAGTGGTGGGATTCAATATTTTTTACTACCGGTTCTGTGGGTTTGGCTTGGTGGGTGTGGCGGGGAAGGATATTATAAAATTTCCAGTCAAAGGTGGCATTGGCCAGTTCTCCAAACTACTCAAAATTTCCACTACCGATTCTCCAGAACTGGTCAGAACCTGCTGAATACCACCTCTGCTGCAAAGACAGGCGCAACGTCCATATACTCTAAAATGCTTTCTTTTTTTACAAATCTGAAACTTAGCATATTGCAAGGCATGTAATTCTTACTCTTTCAGCAATGAAGCATTAAATACAAAACTGAACTCTGCTAGAGAGAACTGTGACATATGCGATGAAGCCTCACATATGGGTGTTAATATGAAAGAATGACTATTTGCTGGCTGAGGGGAGAAATAGTTTGTTTGGATTGCCCCCAGACACTTCCACTTTTAAGTCAGGAGTCAGAGTGATCAGACAAGGGTCTCCACCACAGCAGAGATCTCTGTGGTAAAGAGGGAGATGCCATATAACATTTCTGTCTTTTTTAGGGCCAGACTCAAATGGATTGAAACATGCAGCAATTGAAAGAAATATGATTTGGTTATGATTTTGACATAAGAAGTTAGGACCCACTTAGGATCAACAACAGGAGCAGCTGTTTTCCTCCTTGTCGACCTGTATGCTGACAACCTTGCTGCTACTATAGATTTACATTCAGGATACAGATAGAT